TGACCTATGTTAATTCTGCTTTGACTTCCACAACAAGAGATTTCTGTATGCAGCATCACACAAAATTACACACTTCTGCAAAATGACAACCTTTATTTAACTACTCTTAGCAAAAACAAGTATATTGACTAAATGTCAAGTAAATGAAATAAACAGATAGACAGATCACACATCATACAACCTCTACTGCAGTGACACTGAGCTAGTTTATGACATTGTGAGAGATAATCCCAGATATCCAGGCTGTTCCTAGCTCACTGCTGTATAAAAATCTGCAGGTATAAAAACATCCAATGGCTTATCCACTGTACCAACTGAGAAAAAGTGAACCAGGATCTAGAAAACACTCATGCACAGTCATTAATCCAAAAAAACACTGCCACTGATGCCCTGTCCCTAATCTTCAGAATCAGGTATTTAGAGATAACCTCTCTCATTAGTTTGAATGAAGGTCACCCAAAAACAACCACACAGAGTGTAATCCGCCGCATGTGTCGTTGTTGATGGCGATGGGACATTGCATCTGCCAAACTGCCAGGCAGCTGAAGCGAAGCAGACCACAGAGGCATCGTGCCACTGAGCCAAAACAAGAAGTTGGCACAGACAAATGGAGCAACAATCGGAACGGCGTGTTTTGGGTGGGTTGGTACATCATAACAAACAAGTTCTGGGGTGCACAAAAGCAGCATGGAAAACAAAAAAGTTCTTAAAAAACACCTATTAAAGTAGAAAGCTGTACAATTCTGCAATCTATAAGAGTGCATGATGCCCTGATGGATCTAAACACACTTAAAGCACACACACAATCAGCTGACAGACCGACTGCAAACTACAACGGATGAAGAATGAGCTTTCTTTGCGGATTTTCACTCATCCACCCATTCATATGCTGCCTACAAGTCAACATGTGTGGGAAATATTGAGTGGGGGGGTTTCATTGCTCCTTTTAGCTAACTAATACAACATACAACTCTTTAGAAACTGTACAGGAAATGTTTTGAAGCTTTAACTTATTTTTGACTTATTTACTTTGGGATGTGAAACATCAAAACGTACCGGATCTCAACTTGAGCATGATAGGCGAAATAAAAACCTTCAAATATTGAATTTACCTTGATGTTTTCGATGTGAGGAACTGATTTGAGTGTTTTTAACCGTCTTTCCTCCTTCAAGGCCTCTTGAAGCAGCAGAAAAATAAAAATAAAGACACAAAATCCGTTTTTGGCCTTAAAAACTGCCAAACCCACAGCAATAATCCCATCAAACACTCAATTTTCCGACGATAGAAATAGATCCAGCTGAAATACGAACATCCCCGGGTACCTCTTTATATCCACACGCCGCGTTTGCAGGTTATTTGTATCCAAAAATATGTTTTCTTAGGGAATATCGGTCCCTTTTTCGCCCTATTGTCAATATTACTGGGCTGAGTCCATGGCACACATAACACGGACGCGTTCTACCATGCTGGGCCGGGTTCGGGCCTACAGCGCCACGCCATTGGTCAGTTTGAAGAATCCAGAAGACGTGATTGGGCGATAATACTGTCAATCACCAAGCAAGGGAGGGTGGATAACTCCAAGGCTACCCTTTACGATGAATAGAGAAGTTGGGTTGAGGTGTGTGCGAGCAGGAAAGAGAGTCACCTTACTATTCTGTCTTAGTGTTTTAATTATATCATGTGTTTTATTGCAAAAATAATAAAACTAATTCATGCACATCTGTTTCGAATGCGAAAGTTTATTAATGCACGATCCTTTGTAAAAGCTTGAATGTGTTTTGTGCAAAGTACAAATTTATTAAAAGAAAAAAGTATAAACAAAATCAATAAGCCATATTCAGAACGATGACAATTTTTTTACGATAAATAGAAAAGGAAATAATTCATCTATTAAGGAATGGAGTTAAACCTGTTTGAGGGCCCAACCCTTACGATGAGCGTCTCACTCCAGAAAACAGGAGAAAGAGAAGAGAAGAGCACACCTGGCGTGAGCTATCAGAACATCACACGAGCATCGGGATCATATGGCACCTTTTTTACGCTCAGCTGCGGTTTCATGTATGTGTTTCAGGAAATGAGTGACGAGAACGCGCACGTCAGCACGTGCGTCAGTGCGTAGACTGAGAATGCCTGTTACGCATCCAAGACACGATCCCAACCCATCCCAACGCTCAGGGATGTTTTTCTGTAATTTGGAATAATAAAAACAAATCTCTATTCTTCAATAACTGGTTTAAAAATTCTATAATTTTTGTCTCGCAACTTTTTAATGACAGTGGTTTACTTTGTAACTTCTCTAAAATTTTAGTTAAGCATTGACTTCCTGTGAGCCCAAAAGACTTTGCTACTGTTGCTGATGCTATCCCACAAGGTGTTTTTATGCATTTTAAAGGATCTTCATGTCCAATCACTTGTCATTCAGTTGACCTTTGGAAAACATTTATTGTTAAACAGTGCCTTTCTTTATCCAAATCAAAATGTAATAAGAAAATATTCCCTGTTTCAGGAAGATTCTGTTACTGTGCCTTATATGTAATGTCATATTGAAATGGTTTTGTGAATATTTCCTGGAAGACAGTTTGGTCATTACCCTACACATTTTTTTAATAACAAACAAAATAAGAGATGTCTTTCCCAGTGATGGGTTGCAGCTGGAAGGGCATCCGCTACGTAAAACATATGCTGGATAAGTTGGCGTTTCATTCCACTGTGGCAACCTCTCATTAATAAAGGAACTAAGCCGAAAAGAACATAAATGAATGACTGTTTTTTTTTTTTTTTTTTTTTGCTTAGTGAATCCTGAATCCTACGGAAATTTACATATAAGAATGTTACCTTTGGTTTCCATGAATGTAAAAAGGAAAATAATGCTAAATTCTTTTATAAACCTTTTTGTTGTTGTTGTTGGCCAAATTTCATATTCACAAGAGCAAGTTTTTTTTTTCTAAATTTAGAAAAATTATTTGTTATTTTGAAAATGGTGATAAAAAAATTAAATAGTAAATTCTTTACTTGAGGATCTGTGGAATATTATGGACTTTCAAAATCCCCTCTTTAAACAAGGTTTTTGTCAACAAACTTATACTGTTAATGAAGTCTTTCAAAGCTGTAACAAATGTAAAAGCTCTGTCTATAGTAAGCTATTATGATTCTGTTTTTGGCGCTTTGTGAATGCCTTCCATTAGTTTTGTGTTTTTTTTTTTATTTAAATTATTTTTGGAATTTTTGTTTGTTGCCTGTTTCTGCTGTACATGTAAATTACTAACACACACACACACACACAAAAAAAAGGATGTTTTTCTGATGGATTTCAAAATAAATAGTCACAAACTAATTCAAGTTTAAAATGTACCATTCTCTTTTTTTATTTATATCATATTCCTGTAATAAATGTATTACTTTAATAAACTAATAGGGTATATGCACACAGACTTTTAATTTCCATCAGCCAGCCCCAGGGCTTCCAGTGTATTGTCATCTCATGCAAAATCGCTGCGTTTAAGTTCTGATTTCTTTAAAAAAAAAAAAAAAATTTAAAGGTCTTCTTAGCTTTTTTACAAAAATAAATTGTTCTCCAAACTGGTATAGTAGTCAGTTTGTTACTAGCATAAGCATTAGCTTTGCAAGCATGTTTTATCATTCTGCAAGTCGTTTTTCTTGCATGTTATAAATATAAAAATTTCTTTACATTGTTAAAACACTTCATTCTTTCATTTATTTATTTATTTTTTCAGCTTAGTCTCTTATTAATCAGGGGTCGCCACTCGCCACAGTGAAATGAACCGGCAACTTATCCAGCACAATTTAAACAGCGGATGCCCTTCCAGCTGCAACCCATCACTGGGAAACATCCATTCACACTCATTTACACACATACACTACGGACAATTTAGCCTCCCCAATTCACCTGTACCAAATGTTTTGGACTGTGGGGGTAACCGGAGTACCCGGAGGAAACCCACACGAACGCATTGAGAACATGCAAACTCCACACAAAAATGCCAAATGACCGAGCCGAGGCTCAAACCAGCGACCTTCTTGCTGTGAGGTGACAGCACTACCGCCACCGCGTCGCCCCCACTTTATTAATAATTTTGCTGGCATATTTGTAATCTGAATTAGCATGTTGCTTAAATATTTCAATCCTAGCTAATATTATTAATGTTTTAAATTAGCATTGTGAGCATAAGTTAATCCATGAGTTTCATGAAAATAGCCTTGTTCTTTTTGTTTCTACTCTACACACACTCAGAAATAAAAGTACAGGAGCTGTCACTGGGGCAGGACCTTTTCAAAAGATACATATTTGTAGCCAGAGTCCACAGTGGCATCTCAAAGGTGTATATTAGTACCCAAATGTACCTAAAAAGTATCTTTTAGATACCATTATGGACCCTTCAGGTAAAAATATGCACCCTTTGAAAAGGTACTGCCCCAGTGACAGCTCCTGTACCTTTATCTCTGAGTGTATGCTAAAACGCTTTAACACTAACATGAATTAGTATCTAGATTAGCAAAATATACGTTTTAGTCCCAAAATGGAGCACTACTATTTGCACTCATGTACTAACAAAATAACATTCAGGTATTTAAAGTGCATGTTTGTTCCTATGTGCAAATCTTTCTCGTACTACTTAAACCTCAAGAAATGGAATAAAATAGTGCACGAGTTCACAAATTGGACACACTTATAAAAGATTGCTAGATGTAATTAAAAAAGTTTAAATGGCTTAATATTACTGAAGAGTCAAATCAAAGTGTGTATGAGGGTCTGAGTTGAGTTTGGTGGTAAAAAAAAAAACTAGGAGGACATACAATTCGGAAATGTTATCTTAAAATAATAATAAAAAATGAATAAAATAGAATAAGAGCATATTAGCTCGAACAAAACTCTTTCTAGGGACTCTAGGGAGCAGGGTGTCAATTGCAGTTTAGATATCACTTGAGAATGCCGATTGAGCATTTGTTTACTTTAAAAGAGACAGTGTGGATATCCAGGGTGTCTTAAAACTCTTTCATTTATTTAAGGGCGTTTACAACACACAGAGGATCCACAAACAACAAGCAAAAACAGTTTGTCAATTTCTCTCAGCTGTCACTTCCTGTGCTACATGCCAAATAACGAATTCACATCACGTTCTGCAGCATTCTCGAGTATTATTGAGGGTGAGGCTGCTTCCGCTTACTGGAAAGTCTGTTCTGTTGTGGCACGTTCAGCATATTGAACTTTACCAGGCTTTACATTACATCTGGACACTCCTCATCTGTTTCCACTGAGAATCAAACACTGAAGATAGTAAAATACACTCTCAAAGTAAATGACAAGAGGGAGCTCTTAAATCTCAAGAGACAAACGGTGCCTGTTTGAACCCCACATTTGCATTTCAAAGCACAGACAGTACTTATCCAAGAATTACTAATGACACTTTAAAAAAGTATGATTATTAAGACCAAATTCAAGATCAAAAACATATATTCAAAAAACATCATAGTGTATAAATAACTTAAAGGGCACCTTTTTTAACCCTTTTTCAAGATTTAAAGCAAGTCTTTTGCGTCACCAGAATTAATGTGTAAGAATGTGTTTAAAGTTTCAACTCAAAACACCAAAACACAATATTATTTATTATAGCTTTCAGAATATTAGAATTTTCTGCTCTGCATAAATGCAGTCATTCAACTTCACAATTTGTAATGTTGCAGTATGTATTTGAATAATGATGGCTGATTCCATTACTTGAAAGCTCATGATTTGATTCTCATAATTTGTTTTGTTTACGGAGTTTGAGGTTTACTGTATCATTATTATTGACACCTTACAGATGTTGATCTACCCTAAAGTTTAAAGATTGTTCAGTATTTACGCTTAACCATTGCACACACTTTATAACATTTGATTTATTAAGTTTAAGAGTTTCTTTAACACTTATGTTTATTTTATTAGAAATTGATCAGATATTCTATTAAAATATTTTTGTTTTTGACTACTAGAACTATTTGCTTTAGGTAAATTACAATAATGTGGTTAAATAACAAAAAAATCCTAAATGTATTGTTAAAAATATTCAAAAATTATTGATATTGAATGATATAAAACATGATATTGTGATTTTCTTTTTGCATTATTGCCCAGCCCTATGCTCCAATATATATATATATATATATATATATATATATATATATAAATTCTTTAAAGAGATATTTGAGATAAAAAAAAATAATAATTGGCTATCATTTTACTCGCCCTCAGGCTACACATGAATTTATTATTATTATTACAGTCTCTGCAATAGATAATATTATTCAAAAATAATGTGTAGTTTCTTGCCCAGACTGACTGTTGTGCTCATTTGTGAAAGCAGGAATCAGTTTCTCTGTTATCCATTTCATTTTCAACTGTCTCTTTGAGTTTCTCCTACAGATATACACAACACGATCATGCAACTTTTGACCAGTCCGTCTTTGTAGTTTGTTTTCTGTGAGCTTTAGTTTTGAGCTGCATTGAGGAGATGCTTTTAAGAGACTCTTTCTTCCCCACACTGATTTCCTCTGCTCCCGCCTTCCACTGCAACAACTGGCCATCCTCCCCGCCCGTCACCAGAGATCGACCAATCGCATCCCACTGGAAGCATCGCACTGTAGCCGAATGCCCGCCTTTCAGGGATTTGATAAGCCTTAAGCCACTCCCACTGCAGTCCAGGAGGTGGAGCTCTCCTTGATTACTCCCACCCACTAAAAGAGTCCGCTCCTCATCTGGTAGCCATGTACCCCCAATAAAGTACTCGAGCGAAACTCCGTCGGGGAGCTGGACAAGCGGTCGAGCGTCAGCAGAACTCAGAAGGGTCAAAGTGTCGTCGCTGTCTGGACGGGCCACGTCCCACAGGTGAAGCCCCTCATCATGAGTCAGACAAAGCAGCCGGTCCAGATCTTTGCCTGTCAATTAGAGATTTACAATGAGAGTTTAAGTGTATAGTAAGTCCAAATATGGGGATGTCTAACATTTGATTTCAAATATTTTATTTCAATTAGTTGCATTTTATTTCAAATAGTTAAAAAACTAAGCATTTTCAGAATTATTATGTGGCACAATCAGCTAAAATGTTGCTAAAAGTCAATATATTGATTATTGTGACAGGCCTAATTAAATGCAGTCTATAATGTAATACACAAAAATTAGGGGTGTCAAAGTTAATCATTTCTTTGGTGCACCGCGATGCAGACGCGGTATCAGTTCAGTAATAATCATAACCGGTTATTACTGACGTCATTTACCTCATATGCGCTCTGTTGCGAGCGTTTACAACGCTCTAACTACTTAAAACTCATAAACTGTGCACAATTTCACTGTGTGTGTTTGCTGGATCAGTCTTTTCACTTGCTATACAGCAAAAGCCCCTATTTCACTGAGATCGAGAGAATGAAAGTACTCCGTTTCTTTCTTTCTTTCTTTCTTTCTTTCTCTCTCTCTCTCTCTCTCTCACACATGCACAAACGCATGCACACGCACACACGCACACACGCGCGCGCACACACACACACACACACACACACACACACACACACACACACACACACAGTGGCCCATTTGACCTGCTGGCGTGGCTTTTCTTTTCCTCTCGGCTGTTTTACAGCTTTACTTCTGGATACAGAAATACTGCAGAGTTTTCTCCACCGTGTCTATCATACATTAGCTGTGAGATCGCCGCTGCCGCCTGCCGCTTATCAGTGTCACTCATCTGTGAAGAGTGCAGTGTGCAAGAGCCGATCGCAACCGTTTTTGTTGAGGGTGTGACCAATCAAAGAGGGGTAAGAGAACTAGAAAAGGATCAGAAAGTGAGCTGAATATTTATATTTGTTTATATTATTTGCTAAATGCTTGTGTTTAAAGGTACATTTTATATATATGACTTTTTGTATTAAATGACAAAATTGTATTACCAATAGTATATAAATATAAATATATTCTTACATTTTAATACAAGAACTGCTGCTGTGAAGAAAAATAAAACTGTGTATGAAAAGCACAGTCGATGCACCGAAATATCGAATTGAACCGAATCGATGGCATGATAATCGTAACCGAACCGAACCGTGAGACCAGTGTAGGTTCACAGCTTTAACAAAAATATTGTCAAGTTGTATACAGTTCTATAGTCTGGCCTGCTACTTACCCGTCCAGCAGAGGGAGCTTGCAGAGGAGTTGCAGTTACAGGTGGTGACAAGAGCATCGTCCTCTCCTCCCAGACTCAGATCAAACACATTCACCAGCCCATCTGTGCCTCCAGAAGCCAACCGGTCAGCCTGCTGAGGGTGAAACTTCACCGCGGTAACATCATCACTGTGCGACTCTGAATAAACGCCCAGCGGGCCTCTGTCCTGTACCATACGGGCATCCCAGAACACTAAAAAACTGTCCTCCTCCACCTGCTCGGTGCCAGCGCACAGCACACGATCAGTACAGCTTACATCAAACGAGCAGTACGAATGTGTTGGATCACTGCGGAAAACCTGAACAGAGTCAGAATCAGGTCGCCGGATGTCCCAAGACCGTATCGTCCCATCGGCAGAGCCAGAGAACAGCAGGTGAGGGGACATATGAGAGAAACGAACCCCACAGACAGGAGCCGTGTGGCCTTGAAACTGACCCACCTGATGGAGCGTCTCTCTGTTGTGGAGATGCACAGAGTGATTGGAGCAGCACACGGCCAGAACATCTGATGCTGCAAGAGAAACGTCCAGAATATATGTGGCCTCGCTAGGCTGCAGTCTTCTGGCGATGGCGAGGGTCCTGAAGGTGTCCTCAAGAGCATCCATGGCTGTCGCTGATTCACCTAACACCTAAAAGGAAAAGAAAACAGAGTGGTTTCACTGTTATGCAAAGTAGAACACAGCTGTAGTTCTCTGCTGGACACAGATCTATATTTTGAATTAGGGCTGCTCAATATATCACTTCAGCATCAATATCAACGCACACAAACGCAAAAGCTCCATCGCAGAATCTGCAATTTTAAGTTGGGTTTATAAATAATAATCTCTGTAGTATGCTTCAGCAATGACAGTATTTTTTACGACGTCTAAGAATTTATGGAGTGGATCAGAAATGTATGATCATGTTCTATGAGGCTGTGTGTGAGAGTTTGATAAGGTACGGTATCACAGCTTGGTTCGGCAACTTGTCTGTGCAGCTGAGATCTAAAGTAGTTTGTTTAATTCACACTGCCTGGAAAATTATAGGTGTATCAGAGCTGACGTCACTGCAGGATATGTATGAACAGGAGGCATTAAGGTGTGCTAAACAAATTGTTCGTGACGTATCACATGTTCTGCACAAGGAATATGAGTTGTTACCCTCGGGGAAAAGATTCAGAGTACCTTACTGTAGATTAAACAGATATAAAAATTCATTTTATCCTACGAGCATTAAGCTATTAAATAATAGTGGTGGCTTAGATTAGATTGAGAGTATTCAGTTTGCTTATTTATGTGTTTATGGAGTGAGGCTTGTAACTTTTATTGAACTATCTATTTGTATGTTGCATTGTTTGTCCATGTTTGAGATGACTGCAGCTGGGGGCAAGAGCCCAAGACAAATTTCCCTAACTGGGACAATAAAGTTTTACTTTAAAGTTTAGGATTATACACTCACTGCCTAAATTATTAAGTACACCTTACTAGTACTGAGTTGGAACCCCTATAGCCTTTAGAACTGCCTTAAACCTATGTGGCATAGATCCAACGAGGTGCTGGAAATATTCCTCAGAGATTTTGCTCCATATTGACATGAGAGCATCACACAATTGAAGCAGATTTGTCGGCTGCGCATTCATGATGTGAATTTAAGGGTGCTCTATTGGATTGATATCTGAGACTGTGTATGACAATTGAGTAGTAAAGTTATTGTCATGTTCAAGAAACCAGTCTGAGATGATTCACGCTTTATGACATGGCGGCGTTATCTATGGTTAGCTTCCTGCTAATCTAAAAGCGCTTTATTTGCAAGTATGTTGTCTTTTTGACAGGAGCTTTCAGTCCAGGAAAACTACACATAACAAGCAGACACACATAAACCGACACATAAGCCTTGCATAGAAGTAAGCGTGTTTTTCTACTATTTTAAAACGGCAAGCTCTACAGAAAAATGTGTTGTGCATTCTGCTCATAACCGACTACAATAATAAATAACCAAATCTTGAATTTTACACACTTAAACAAATTTATTGAACGAGGAAGTCAGAATGTGCAAATATAAAACTAACTTAAATTACCCATCTACATTCAGGTAATAAACAGAAAATAAATAACACACACACACACACACACACACACACACACACAAAAAATACATTAAAACAATGTTTCTGTGCTCAAAATATGAAAATATTTTAGTAAATAGGTAGTATTTGGAAAACTTTTACGTCACATTCTTATAATTTTCATTATAAAATTGCACTGTTAGACATGTTGCTTGTATTGCTTTGATTAAATGCTTTAATCGCCTTCCTATTATTTGTACATGATTTAAACAGAACGTATTCACAATTTAATTGACACTGACACTTTGTATCGAATGTAACATATATTTACTAATGTTTTCAAGCACTCCTGATTCCAGTTTAAAAATCCTCGTTTGGACAACTTTGTGGCAGAATTATTGACAAAATAAGAGCTATAATTCCATGAAACACAAATAAGTTAAATACATGAAATACAAATTTAGAAATTTAAAGGCGAATATTACGTTAAAACAAGTTAAGCAACGGAGCCTCACATTAAAAACTACATATCTGACAAGTGTGCTAAGAACATTCAAATAATTAGCATTTAAGTAACATTTAGTAATACAGTACAAAACACTCACATGTGATCGCTTTTTCGTCGCAGTGTCACCTCATCAACGGCTCCTCGGAAACGCAGAGAAACTGAACATTAGTTCCGCAAGTCGGACACAAGCTTCACTTGCGCTAAATAAAAAAAATATATAATTGATGTACATTTACAAAACAGAGATATGATAAAGAACACATTACTATTGCAATCTTGTCTAAAATGATAAAAGATAAGAAATAGATATCACAGCGCGCTCGTGCCGCCACTAGATGGCAGTGTTTTACTGTTTTCTCAGATGAAAGCATGTTTGATAGTGTGCATGTTCTTAGATTTTTCAGTTTCGTATGTGACATACAAGGCTCACAGAGAAATTTTCCGGTTGTTTTAAAATATATATTTCAAAATTAGTTACATGTGATTACCTTCTGTAGTCGGGAGAATGTCAGACAATGTCGAAACACCTATATTTACAAGATTTTTTTTTTTTACATTATAATAAAATAACGTTTATAATAAAACCAGCATCTTTTAAAGAGCGGTCCTTAAAAAAATCACGTTTATAAGATAAGGAAAATGATTATAAAATATTATAAGCAATAAGCTTCAACATTGATCCAAAAATGTCGAGTATACAAAAGACCAAAATAAATGTGAAAAAGTTTCATTAAAGCTTTCACAAAAACAGCCTTTTAACTCAATATCAATTAAAATGTTTTGTAGAAATAATTTTGTAGGATAAACTCTATAAAGTAATTGGAATTTTATTTCTTTAGCCTTATTTGTAATAAAAAAAAAAATGAGGTAATGACCATACTAGAATCCAGTTTATATTATTAAATATATATTGTTCCAGCAAAAAAAAAAAATAACATATGCTATAAACATATTTTCTTTTAAGATTAAAGATCTAATTTTGTGATTATTAGGCTTAAATCTAGAGAAACAGATAAAACCAACTGAGGTTTGTTCAGGTTTAGGAGGACAAACAGAAATTGCTGATGTACACTGCCTTTGTACAGCATATGTATGCCAGCAGGTATTGCCCCGGTTAGAATAGTAAATTCCTGTTATTTAACAGGAATTTTGTGTCTTGCCATAAAGTTTTATCCAATGATAACAAATGTTTTTCATGTGTCCAACATCCTGCTCTGCAAGAACACATTGTACAATATTGGAGAAGTCATCTTTCGCTACTGTATCATTTTTAAATAGAGAAAATATTTTACAAGCAACTTTTATTCTAAATCTTGGACCTTAATTCTTTAAACATAACATGACCCATGAAAAGGTGTGAAGCACCAGAAGTGGCCCACATTTAAATGAATTTGTATTTTGGCTATTGTTGTTCCATTCATTTTCAAATGTACTTGTTGTGTTTATGATGAACAACCGATTATCGGTATATTATTTTTCAGCTAATGTAGTGCTTAAAATGTCACTAAATGCAGTAGGGAGACTGGGTATATAGCTGAAACACGGAGAGTTGTAATACAATTCCACGAATCAGGGATAAGACAGGGCTCATTTGACGTTTTCAGTTTCTTAAGTTTGCATTTATACTCTGCATCTCTAATTTTGCTTTGTCAGTCTGGGTGTTTACATGATGCAGGACATCTTTAAAGAGTTTATCTTTGTAATCTGGACAGAGGAAATGACTTTTGAATAGGGAGAGACAATCAGAATTAAATGAAGGTGTTCAATAAGCAGAACATTATTGTAATATAACACTGTATTACACAATCATCAAGACTCTATGTGAGACATGAAATCTGTTTCTTCATAATCCTTGGTAATGTTACCCTTGACCTTCACTCAACTATTCCTTTAGAAGATCTTACCACAGTTACCTTTGTTTATTTTAACTACCTTTATTACTGTCAATAACCAAAATTAAACATAAACATTTAAAGTTCCTCATCTTTCGAGTGACATTAAACCGAGGTCCCTACTCTCTGTTTTCGTTAAAAATCCCAGAAAAAGGGGAATCACAGCCCATCATGACCTCCTGCATGCTTCATCACTCTCTCCAACACTCAGCTGGTGTGTGTTGTTCGGTCCGGCGTAATATGGCTGCCGTCGCGTCATCAAGGTGGATGCTGCACACTGGTGGTGGGTGAGGAGGATCCCCCCAATGTTTTTATTTATTTTTTATTTTATTATTGAAACATATAACTGACAAGTATACAGGATTATATGATAACAAATGTAACAGACATGCAAAACTTAGAGATGCAGAACATATATTGCATAAAAAATGCTACATTATAAATGTGAGGGGATCCATTATATTTAAATTATTAGATTGTATAGATAATCTTTGCATTAGAGAGGTTTTTAAAGTCTCTTGTTCCTTGTAATTGAGGTTAAAGAATTATAAAATAATTTTAAATCTTTACAGAAAAAATAAAGGAAGGAGTAATATACTTTTGCCTTGTGTATGTGAAACTTCCCAAGAAAAACGATCAACTTCAAAGCATTATCGAGTGTATCATAGCCAGTTTTACAATAAAAAAATAAATAATGCATTCGTCAAAGTTAATTATTTTGTAAAATGAATTAAAAATCAACCCTAAAACCAAAAATCATCAAGTACAAAATAGATGTAAAAGACTTTCAGGCTCAGTGTTACAAAAAAAATCATATATATAGTCGTGAAATGTCTTTTAAAACGTATTATATATCACAGGGATATAGGGATAGCAGTACCTGTGAAATATTTTGAAATGAAGTTCTTTTACTTTATTTTGGAGTAAAAACGTATATCAGAGACCAAATATCATCTATAAAAGGTAAAGAAAATATTGTTTTTAATTCAAAATGGCTTTCGGGAAACATGTTCCCCTCAATGTGTAAAGCACTTTGTGTGTCCAAAAAAAAGCGCTATATAAATGTAAGGAATTATTATTATTAATTATTATTTGTTAATTTCTATGTGAAACACTTTCATGAGCCCATTTAGGCAATAAGAAAAAAACATAGTTTTACTACAGTAAACTTACATACAAAATAACAGTTGTAAACCCATGGTTAATTGTGCCCTGGGCAAATATCCCACTTCAGCCTGCAGAATGGCATTTCAAACTGTGGCCTAACAAAAATATAGAAAAGAAATATAGAGTTTCTGTAATCTAAAACTAAATAATTCCTCTCCCGGTATAGTTCCTGCACCTGACAGAAACAAAATATTAACTGAATCACTCAAATAGCAATCAATCTAACTGATGTTAACATTAAAGGTTTGCGCTAGCTTTTAAGTAAAACAATAATTAGTTTAACGTTACAGTACCGTTAACATTAATACTTACATTACAATTACATTAAGTTGCATCAATGTTAGCATTAGCATCAAATGCTAATTAACGCTAGCTATAGTCTGTAATATACTGTTAGATCTAATTACACTGACTTTAATATTCATTGGCTTAATTTGTAATTATTTATTTATTTGTGTATTTTTTCTTTTTAATTCGCATTTTTACTCAGTGAAGTAGGGGACTGTTAACTAGTAGTAACCTTAGCTCTAAATTATGAATGTTTAATCCACATTTCATCATTATTCCAACCTGGCAGCATTTACATCGGTTCAGTCCTTATTTAGGTTAGAGTGGGTTATTTTTTGTGAATGAATCTGTAGATTTAAATGAATTGTGAGAGTGGATTCAATGACCTATTCATAAATAGAACAGTTACTTTGTTGCTGAATAAATGTCTTCTTAAGACAGTGTCTTACCACCACCTGCTGGCGGTTTATAGTTAATACATGGATAACTTCATATTTACTATAATTGCATATTTTTCTTTTTAATTTCTTATTTGAAACATTATTTATCTAAAAAAAGAATTCATTCGACAAAAGAATTCATATACTGTTGTCGGGAGAATGTCAGACAATGTGAAAACGCCTATATTTATAAAGGATAAAATAGAAGTGAAGATACAAGATGTGCAGTACCTGAAACTACGGATACTGGAAGCCTGTGCCGGCATTTCTCCTGCGGTGTTGCTATCAGTGTGTGAAGAGAGGGAGAAGAGGGTTGCATTGACAATCAAACACAATGGGCAGCACATTGAACACATTTTATAAGTGCACTGCAAAAATGCTTTTCTTACTTAGATTTTTTTATCTTGTTTCTAGTCCAAATATCTAAAAGTTCTTAAATCAAGAAGCATTTTCTAGACAGGCAAAACATATTGTCTTGTTTTAAGAAATAATATAATTAAGTGAATTTTTCCTTAAATCAAGCTGAATAATCTGCCAGTGGGGTAAGCAAAATAATCTTATCACAAATCGAAAAACAAGAATATTTTAATTCATTTACTTAGACAAAAAATATAAGTAAAAAAAGCATTTTTTTGCAGTGTGGTCAGAAAAATAACTCATGAAAGATTAAAGTTACGTTAAAACCAAGAACACCATTGTTTTTCTTAGTAATTTCCCACTAAGTTTGATGTGCCAAATGATCTTTTATTAAAAAACAAAAGTTGGATCCAAGATAGCCGACTTCAAAATGGCCACCATGGTCACCACCCATCTTAAAAAGTTTGCCCCCTCACATATACTAATGTGCCATAAACAGGATGTTAATATCACCAACCATTCCCATTTTATTAAGGTGTATCCATATAAATGGCCCACCCTGTAGTTTAAGAAATTGAAATTGTTGACATTTAGTAGACAAATGTAGATACTTCGCCTAAAAGTTTCAGTCATGTAGCTAAAAAAAAAGGTAGCTTTAGGTGCTAAAGAAAATTTGTATTACAATCATCCCTGCAAATGTCATAATTAAATAGTAGACTAAAAAAAATCCTATAACTGCAAAAGATCCACTTTTTGAGAGAAAAAAGAACCACTCGTTTCACCAGGCTGGCTATAGGCCTGTACTACTTTATTTAATTTTCTGTAGCACATTCATTTACACACACATAGTTGCACAAACTCTCTATATGGAGAGAATATAGTCTATTGTATAGAGAACGGGACGTTTTCTCTTCTTTGTCCTCCAGTCTTTGTCCCTCCTTTGTTAAACTCCCAAAGGACACCAACACAACTGAAATATATGACATCTGTA